GGGAAATATGAGCAAGAATTTTCGACAAAAGAGGTTTCATGTAAAGAAAAAATTTCGGAAAAAGTCCTGGAGTTTTCGTCTCAGGACACGATTTCATTCACACACACACACACGCACAGACACAGACACACATACAGAGAACGAAAAAGAAAAAAATGAATGTGCACACACAAAAAATGAAAAATTAAAGTACATCCATGTACCAGTCAGTTTGGAGATTCAACTCATACCATATAAACCTCAAAACCTCAAAACCTCACTCCGACCATATAATTAAATTTTTGTCACAAGTGCGGTAGTAGTTACATCCTACTATTTTAATTTGAACTTACTAGGAGAGATATTAGAAGTTTCCAAGAGACCGCTTATCATACCAGAAAGATTTACATCCTGTGCTTTTCTTTGTTTGAAAGTTTCCTGATGCTAATTTTCGTTAAACGCTCGTTTGCAAGCTGACGCTTAAAGTACAATGTAATTCAAAAATTCCAACGTGTAAATGTACAGTGTTAGTAGTTCTAAAAACGCTTTATCCATTTTATGAGCTAACTTTAATTACAAGAGGTCACCTTCTACCTCTCTCCTTTTTCTCTAATAAGTTATCATCCTATCTTCACTGGGTCATTTGCGATAATTAATTATCCTGCAAATTTCCGACGTTCGCTGTAGTATTTTAAATTCTTGCGATATTTTTACCAGCATCTCTCCGGACTTCAGTTAACTTCGAGCTTGGTAAATAACTATGTAATGTGACATTGTTTACAGGTAGCTTTAAAAAGAACCTTTCGGCTTCTGAATAAACCTTGCACTGAAATGGATTGATAACGACAAATTATTCGGTTTGTTCACTGTCCCCTTCTGGGTCAAATAAAAGCTGTTCTGTCAGTCGATGCCGGGTTAATTAGTTTGGTTATCAACTGGGGGGGAATAGGGATGGCGCAGTGGTGAGAGCGCTCGCCTCCCACCAATGTGGCCCGGGTACGATTTCGACCCGGTGCCATGATATGGAGGTTGAGTTTGTTGTTGGGTCTCGCCTTGCTCCGAGACTTTTTCTCTGGGTTCTCGGCCGGTTTTCCTTTCTCCACGAAAACCGACATCTCCAAACTCCAATTCGGCCCGCATGAAAACCAGCTAAGGCTGGTGTGGCTTCCTCGCTAAATATTGTAGATTTATTTACTTGAAACGTGAATAACCGGCAAAAGTCTATCTCAAGACCAAAGTCTCCAAAACACTCCCATCAGGCCCGAGATATATGCTACATTTAACCACCAAAGCCGCTCATTGGGAAGTAGTTCTTATTAAGGTTGAATATATTCATGAAAGAAAACACGTTTGACCTTTTTTTATTCTCAATGTATCTTACAGTGGTTAGCTCCCTTACACGAAATTAAGGGTGGATAACGCTATCCACCGGATGAATCGCTATCCAGCGGGCAGCATGGTTTGTTTTGTTAACACTTATCCACTGGAGATAGCAATTTATCGAGTGAATAGCGTCATCCAGCCTTTGGACAACTGGGGCCAGGACTTCAGCGATATCATGGACTCTTGGCCGTTGTATTCGAATTTGTATTCGATGCCTCGCATTTTTACGAACGTGGACGACCTTTCTCGCTCGTTCGCTACCTAATTTCTGCTAACTTTTGGTCACTAGTCCCATGATGATTGGCCACGTTTGAATGACAGTCGATGAGAGTTCAACTTTCCTCGACTCCCATCCTCGTTTCGCCCAGACTTAGCAGCGTACCTACCTCTGTTGTGACCGATGAAGCCCGACGAGGACTTCCCAGTTTTGCCAGGTAGTTAAAAGCAAAAGCCTATTTTTTTTTTTAACAAAATAGTTATCTTGTAGTGTCTGATTGTGAAGAAAAGGCAGGCGTGTTCTCTTTGTTTTTAAATCCTGGTTCATAATGCCGATATTTCACCCTTCGATAACCCGTAGATGACATAAATAGATATTTAAAAAGACATTACTACCAAATGCTGAAATCCCATTAAGTTTCAATCACTTACTGGGTCCATCAGTCATCGTGTTACGACAGTGAAACCACACAGGTTCAGTTTCTTCACTTCTAACCTCCTTGAAGCTTATGTTTGATTTTGATTACTTAATCTTGCGCCTCATCTCACTTTAGAACGGACCAAAAAAAGATAACTTTATAAGAGCAATAAAAACTCAAGAATGGTAAGAAAATGTTGAATGATGGTTGTTCTGTAGAGTCATATATTATTCTCATATATGTTAAGTAGTTCAACGAAAACGCAGCGCCGTACCGCTGAGTTTCCAACGTTGACCTTTCGAGTGTTAGCCTTTCCCCAAGAAATTATCAAGGTAAGAGAGTGAATCCCCCATATAGGCCCTCTACCCAAGGTAATCCCTCTTAAGTTATTTTTAGACATGGTACCCATTTCCTCCGAGGGTGTTACTCGCGCGATGCGTGGACAACCGAAGCGACCTTCTCGAAACTTCATCGTGGAAGAACTGGGTACCATGTCTAACAATAACTTAAGAGGGGTTACCTTGGATATAAGACCTATATGGGAGACTCACTCTGTTACCTTGATAATCTATTGACATTTCTCCTATTTCTCACTGCTTTGTGGGAGAAATCATGTGGGATAGTTTCGGATCAAGACTTCTAGGACTGTTCTTACAAAACAGCGTTGCAGGTTACAGCCTAAATAATATCTACGAGATTTATACCTGGGAGTGAGTCTCCACCGTAGTCGTGCGTAACGGCCCAAAGTAAGGTTGCGGAGGAGGCTACAGCGGTGCAAGAGAGCAAATATTTTCGTTCTGCTTCAATGCCATTTAACTTATTGCTAGCTGTTTATTTGGTTTTGATCCACTAGAGGAATATAGTTAGCTCATTTAGGCTTCGGGTGATATTTATCTGTAGTCTTCTACCTGCACACGCCAAATTCGTGAGAGAGGCTACAACGTCGTTCTGCCACGTGTTAGGACAAAGCATTTTTAAACTTTTTTGGTAAGTTTACCTTCTTTCTATCACGCCCTTTCACTTTAAATTAAAACGGATGTTTTGAATTGCAGGTTTAATTTAAAGACCATTATTATTATTATCAACCCGCGCGCAACAACAGCAACAACAACAATAATATATTTATTTTCTTAATGCAAATACAAATGCACGCAAGCACTGGGGTATTTTCGTGTTTAGCCTCAAGCTGGAGTCCTCAAGTGTCGCTAAGACCCACTCAGGCGAGGCTTCTGAAATTCCTCCACGTTTGATTAACGTCAAAGCCACAGTATTAATAATTTGTTTGTCTTTGATTATGCTATATTATATTGCTCTGACTATTCTCTTCTTATTTAAATAATAATCTGAATGCGGGCCTGTTACCGTCAAAATAAATCAATCGTCTCTCTGAAATTAAAGGTTCACATCCAAATCGTCCATTTCACCTTAACAAGGTGGAGACTTCGAAACTATTTGGATAGGCTCGTACAGTGTATATCTCAGAGCTATCTAAACTTGATGCATGTTTTACAACCGGCCTGAACGAAAACCAGATGTGCTCCCTTAAAACTTGTTGGGTTGTTCAGGGAGGCTATTGGGCCCGCGCCGGGCTATTGGGGCACGAATTTGTTTATTAATTTATCATTTCTGCACACAAATGTGGACTTTAACGTACGTGACAACTGGGTTTTCTTCATTGAACGTTCAAAATTCTTCCAAATTCTCATCAAGCGTTATTCTTTTATTCCCTTCGAACAGAAAGCACCCTCGAGTTGAGGGGCTCCACTACCCACTAAATAACGCCCAGAGGACTGTCCTACATTGATCCTGGAAATGATATCATGTCTCTCACGAAAGCCAAGCATATCTCATCAGAGTGGGTGTTGAATAACTGGTGTATGGCGCAATATTTTACGCTATTCTTATGATCAAAACAAAATTAAATGTCGTCTAATTTGCTCGCACTGGAGTTATGGAGGTAAATCGTGAGAAATTGAGCTGCAGTGAACGGTTCGTCGCAGTTGACTTCACCTGTCAGCTGTCACTTTAGCAGCGCCAATACAACTGCAGCACTTCTCGTGTTTACTCAGTTTACCCAGCGCTTTTCTACATTTTATAAGCCAAGGAATGATACTCAACGTGTTCAAAGTTCTCAACGAAATATTTGTTGTCTAAGACATCTACGGAAAATAGAGAAAGACAATTAAGTTATTAAATTAAAAAATCAAAAGCTAGTCGAGTAAATTGTTGACTGTGAAATTTGCATAGAACAGTAATGAAGTGAGCTCTGACGTTCTAATGATCTCATCCCTGTAATTTTAATTCAACGCGTGTTCTGATTTCTTGCTGCTAGAGCACTTGACCTGTGTCACCTTTCTGACACAGGAGCTGCGCAGATAAGAAATCTAATTATCAATTAGATTATGAGCTCGAGATTTCTATGAGGTGAAGGCCGAATCAACTATCACCTCATGGAAATCGAGAGCAAATCAGTCTAATTTTTTAGAATTCTAACTGAAATTACAGTGAAATTAACGCAAATAACGGTTTCCAATTATTTTTCTATGCATTATTGAACTTCAGGCTTTAACAAAATCGCACGTGTTGAATTGTCCTTGGTAAATTTGCAGTTGTTACGAGCGCGCACCGGTTTTCAATAATTTAAAGCTTTTAAAGTTAAGAATCCGTTTATGTCCTTCTTTCAGTCGTGTCAGGTATTTGATCATCTATTTACATCTAAACTTTCTTCCAAAACTTCCAAAAAACGATAAAAACGACGACGACCGACAGCTAATGGCTGATAGTAGACGAGTAGCTCAGCCAATCAGATTGTAACAATTGCATTAGAATACTACTAGAATTCTTGATGTTAGACACCTTCCAACCCGTAGGCAGGCACTGGCGCTTTGTGTTTAACATTAAGTTATGAATCACTTAAAAGTGCCACCTGAGAATCACTCTCGTTAACTACGTAAAGTAAAGTTTCTGTCCCTTAATGCCTGAACAGCGTAAAAGCAGCAGGTTTAATTTCAGATGACGCCATCCTCTCTTTACGAAGAGAGTCTAAGAGAAAATCAGAGGACAGCGCCGTGCCATGCGAGTGAAATCTTCGACTCAGTGGATGACAGTTATGACTACTGGAATACACCATTTAGCACTATATTAGATGAGTATCTGCTAATGAAAAGAATGAAAGCGAGAGCAAAAGATGTTCCTTACATGACCTCTGCCTGGAAGACAGCTATAAGAGCAAAACGTCGTTTCTCAAAACGATTTAGCCAAAGTGAGACACCTGAGAACTTCGAACTAAAACGGAAATGGAGGAATGAAGCAACAAGACAAAGGAGAATAGCGATAAGAAATTATTGGAGTGAGGTTTCGGATAATCTGCGTCAAAACCCAAAGAATTTCTACAAAACTTTTAAACCATTCCTGGATAGGAAGGACAAGGGAGACGGTACAAGGGATATACATCTTAATATCGACGGTAACGTAGTGAAAGATCAGGAAGGAGTAACTGAACATTTGGTGGAGTACTTCTCCACAATGGCGAGTGGGATTGATGGAGATAACGTAGAATCTCTTAACGAGAGTGACTTTAAGGAACACAGTAGTTTAAAATCAATCTCCACCATGATAATTACACCGAAAAATTCCTTTTGTTTCAGACCTGTGTCTTATCATGAGGTGAAGGATGCCATGGACAAGAGTGAGGCAAGAAAAGTTGCAAGACATGATGGGATACTACCAAGAATGTTGAAGTTGATGGCTGAAGAACTGGCACCCTCCCTAACTACGAT